TGGATGATGAACGGGAGGTCATCCGACCCAACTCGATCAGCAAGCACTCCTATTTATGGGTAATACAATTAAAATGTCTTGAAAAATTGTGATGTTTGTCAAGGCTCCTCTAATTTAGTCGGTGACTCTGATTGAGTTTTTGTTACCCCAATTTTTTTTGTAGTTCAATGTCTAAATATGGGTTTAACTGTCACAACCCCGCAAAATGCCAAGTATTCAATATAATTTATTGAATTCGTTTAATTTTTTATTTTTAATGATGCTCTTTTCTAATTAATAATGGTAGAATTAGTGGCGGAATCGAAAAATTAAAATAGAAAAAGCACTTTACAATTTAAACTTTTTTTTTTTCATGATCAAAACGATAAGATCGTTGAATATAATCTTACATCTAAGGTTAGTTAATACAATGTAAGAATCTTTTTACTCATTTTCAATTAATTTTAAATTAAATGCTTTAACATGACGATATGAGAGTAAAGTCTTTAATGGCCTCTCGAAATTCTAAATTTTCAACCATAAGCCAATACATTAAGAAAATAAGAAGAAAAAAAAAACGCCTCTCAAAATTCTATATTTTCAACCATAAGCTAATACATTAAAAAAATAAAAAATTGAAAAGTTAAGAGACTGGTGACCGCGTTGGATAGAATAACTATATTTGTCTGTTATTTAAATAGAATATTTTTTGGAACACATCTTCTCTGACCCTTTGAAATGTGTATATTATATGCACATTTAGTTATAATTTTGATAAATTATAATTACACTTTTAAGATTTATTTAAAGTATCAATTGTTTCTTGTAGTTTAAAAAATTACAAATACCCCCTTATTAGAATTTTTTATTTAACAGATTTAACTAAAAAAATAAAATTTATAATTGTTCTCCTATACATACAATAATAAAATTATTTAAATTATTAATTGAAACATATTTCTAACATCATTAAAAATTGTTAATTGACTTAATGATTTATTAATAAAAATGACGATTTATTATAAAATTAAAAGCCTCAAGGAATGTAATATAATTTCCAAAACCACAAAGAATGATTCGTATTTTGATCTAATCTCAGGGCTGCATTTGTTATTTACTCTAATTTTTATATCTTTAATTATGATCAATTAAATTGTTAATGATAATATTATTTAATTATTATTCAAAGATTGTTTTTTACTTTTAGTTATAATTCTTATGGTATGAAACCATGACGCAACATCTGGTGGCGTGGGCCGAGAGATTTCTCTCTGATGATACTGTCAAAGGATGTGACTCGACACTGAAATGCTTATTGAGGTTGGCAAGATGTTGGCGCCATTTGATAGAGTTGTGTAAAAGTGATTATAGATTATAACTTAGTAGATTATGACTTATAGCTGTGAACATAAGCTGTTAACTTGTTTAATGCAGCTGTGAGATTATGGATTTAAGCAGCACAGTAGTGTTTGGTTAATAAGCTGTAAAATAACTTTTTACTGTATAATTGTCTTTTCTTCCCTTATATGATATAAAAATGATTATTTTGTCATTTTTTTCAATTTTAATTTTAAAAAAATATTTTATTAATAAAATTTAATATAATTAGTATTAATTAGTATCAATTAATATAAAAATTGATATATTTGCTAAAAATGTAATGGAAGTATTATTGTCACAATTATTTTCCATTATAAATTAATTAGTATGAATCTATAATCACTTAACAGATTATGGCCGAGCTGACCCCTTCTGTGTCACGGGAAAAGCTCGACACATGATCTCGTCAAGGAATGCATGGAGGATCATGAGGGTTCTGTAGGTCTCCAGATGGTTGACTGGGTCCGTCGTGCCGTCAAAAGAGTCAATGGTGAGCATCTTGAACTTGGAGGGTAGAGGTTTGTCGCGGATGGAGGCAACAAATGGTGAGTTTGCTGTGGTAGAGGGTTTATGCTGGATATTCTGCATGACCCCTTGGAGTTGGAGTTTCATGGCTCGGAGTTCCGCGTCCCAGAGAGGGATGTGGTCACCTCCAGAGGGCAACGGGGGCTAGACGCTGCTGGCCTCTCCTTCAAGGATTGGTGCCGGGATCGATGGTTGTGGGCCCCGGGGTGGCCGGTTTATACCTAGGGGAGGGGGTTGCAAGCCTTCTCTATTGCGTGGATTAGGCTGCGGGATAGTATGGCACGGGGCTTGTTCGTAGTTGGGAGGAATATCGGGAGGTGGTGGAGGGGCATAGGAAGGTTTCTTTGGAGTAGGGCATTAATCAGGGCTTGGTTTTGCTCAGCCATGCAGTTAATGTTGTTAGTAAGCTCGATGCAATATTGTGATGGGTTGTTTTGATTGGGGGGATTGGCTTGGTGGTCGGCAGCATTTTGGTGAGAAGCCATGGGTCTAGTCGTGACCATACACTTCAATGGGTAGCGAGAAAGGGTTATTGGAACAGGGTCTCCGGCAACAGTGAACATAACTGGCGCGAGGAGCAAAGCTTTCCCACAGACGGCGCCAACTGATAATACAGTTACGATACAACGGGTTCCAGAGGGAATGGGTCAGATTGGTTCACGCTTCTCCAACCGATATCTGAATGGCCAAGCCCACCTGAGAACCTGCACAGGAGTTTAACGGGGAACGGGGAGTCCCCCAGTGAACCCTCCGACGAGCAAGTTAGAGAGAGAGAGAGAAGTGAATTGTAGAGATGTGAATTGGAGATAGAGAACTTAACCTTCTTCATGTCTTCAACGTCTGCTTATATCCTTTGGTAATCATTTTGTCATCCCTTCCGACCTGCCACCTTGGCCGAATGTCTATGTTGTAACTTACCTTGTTCAGGGTGAAGGGGTGTTGTTCCGATGGAGAGATGTTGTTGTAATAAATGTTGTGATGGACTGCATTAATGGCGATGTGCAGTGGCAATAACTTTGCAGATCTTTGTCTGCTGATGTGCCTTGTCCTTTGCCTGCCACATGTCTGAATGTCCTTGGTTCTTCGTGCCATGTTGGCTTCCAGCTGTTCAGGATCTCATCATTTGGGTAATGTGTTGGGCTCTAAGTGATGGGCTTGGGTTGTTCATAGTGGGCTATGACCTTTGCGGGCCTAACCACGTCAATTAGTGTCAATTAATGGCTTAATTAGTCTCAATTAATACTAAAATTATTAATTAGTATAAATTAATATTAATATTTAATTTTTATTAGTATCAATTAATATTAATAATCAACAATCGTTATTAATTAGTATCAATTAATAATTAATTCATTACAAAAGTATACAATATTAATTTATTAATAATTAATACCAATTAACATTGATTTTTTTAATTAATATTGATTTTTTTTTTCTTTTTCTTCAGAAATATACAATTTTTTATTTTTTAATTAATATAAAAATATACAATATGAATTTATTAATAATTAATACCAATTAATATTTATTTTTCAAGTAATATTGATTTTTTTCTTTTTCTTCAAAAATATACAATTTTTTATTTTTTTATTTAATAGTAATATTTGGGTATTGACGAGGGCATTTAAGTAATTTTAACCCCCTACACTAGCTGTGCGCTTAAGTAAAAAATTTAAGCACCCCCTGACCAGCTTTTGAGATAAACTGAGAAATAGCTTAATTTAAGTTATAAGTTAGTTAACTTAAGGTACACCAAACACAATATTTTAGCTTAAATTAAATTAAAAGCTAAAATAAGCAGCTTATAAGCTCTACCAAACAGGACTATAGCCAGAGCCAAGGCAAGAGCAACTTCTCAGAATTGACATGTCGAGTTCACAATTGTATAAGGCGTGGTTTGGGAATAGGTTATTTTAATAATTTTTTAATTTTTTGGTTAAAATATGAGGTAAAAAAATTTGTATGTTTGAAATTTTTTTTAGTTTTTTACAAAAAGATGTATAAAAAATAGAGAAAAAACAGAATCTTTGACTTTTTTATTTAAGTTATAGGTTTTTTATTTTTTTTTTAGCAACTTTTTATCTTTTAAGCTAAAACTATAACATGCCAAACAAGACCAAAGACAAAAAATAAAAAAAAATAAAAAAAAATTTAAAAAAAAAATAATTAATTTTTTTGCATGTGGTTGTGGGTCCACATTCAAGTGAAAAAAAAAATCTACTCATAGTGGGGTGATTTATGAGACTAAATTCTAAAGAGTCGAAATTTCAAAGGTTATTTTTAAGTGATGATATATAGTAGGGTCACTCAATCATATAGTGGTAAGTCACGAACTTACACATAGGCAAAGATTCGAACCCACAATCCTGACACTAGATATAATTTGTCTAGACTTGAAAAATTTATCCTACCAATTCTATGTATTATCGTCCGAATAACTGATACCGAAAAGAATAAAAACTTAAGATCTCAATACTTATGCCTCAAAGCTTGCAATCACTATCCCACATGCAAGTGTATAGTGTCATGTGATTGATTTTGTATTTGCGAGTTTATTTTGTGAATTGATAAGTTGGCCAGCTTTCATTGCGCAGATGATTCACTATGGTTGTCAGATCATGGTGTGTTGTATGATCAACCAAAATAAATAAACGATTAAAAAGTTGTTATCCTAGTTCCATAAATGGTGGCAGGTATTTAACGAGTTTAATGAAGTTGATACAATAATTGCTACCACCTTATTTTCATAAACATATATATTCCCTGAAGTGGAGTGTCGATACGGATGGTAATTTAAACCCAGCTCGACGGAGACTCGCTCTTCCAACTCCAATTAGAGCGATTTTTTCTGAAAAATACTCCTGACGGGCTGGGGATGGTGTTCGAAAATGAATCCCTGATAATTTTTGGGTCGGGAATGGTGATATGTTTCCCAGCCCCAGCCCCGACCCCATCTCTGTTGCCCCTCCAAAGTAAAATTACTATATATACCTCTATTAAGTTATGACCCAACCCATTGACCCCTCTCTCTCTCTCTCTCTCTCTCTCTCTCTCTTCCATCTACTCTCTCTCACTTTCGTACATCTCCTCATTCTCAGCGCCACCGCCTGTTCGCGATGCCGATCGTCCTCCTCCGCCTCTCTGCGACGCCAATCATCCTCCTTTATCATTTGTCACAATCACAATTGCCTCGATCGTCCCCTCTCTCTCTCTCTCTCTCTCTCTCTCTGTGTGACACAGATACACAGATCTCAGATCTCAAATCTGTTTGTGTATATATGTATACATGTATATGTGTGTGTCTCTATCTGTCCACATATATATATTTTTTTGGTAGTGGATCTATTGATGATTTTGTTGATGATGTTGATGTTGAAAATGAAACGATTGGGGATGATGATGATCATGTTGTTGATGGTGTTGTTGAAATAGATTTGGGCCAGGAAATTTTTGGGGTCGGGAAAACCCGATCCCCGTTAGGAGGTGGGGACAGGGATAGTGATAGGTTCCTTGTTGGGGATCCCCGGAAATGGGGAGATTTTCACAATTGGTGATCGAGAATGGGGAGTGTGATCTTCGGCCCCACCCCGACCTGTTGCCATTCCTAAATGTTGATGCAAAGACAAAAATATTTAATGGATGTGTGTGTGTGTTTTTTTTGTTTTTTGTTTTGTTCTGTTTTTTTTTTTTTGTGACAACTAGATGTCTTGACTATTTTTGAGTTTTTAAAATTAACGATGAAACAAATTTTTAAATATTCATTGAAAAGACTCACAATATAGAACTTGAATTTTAATCTTAAATCTTTATCATTCTACTTATTCAAAAAAAAAAAAAAGATATATATATATATATCTTTATCATTCGACCAAACACATAAGAGTTACAGATTTTGTGGTCTTGATAGAAAACAATTAACTTGGGTATGAGAGGAATTAAATATTTTAAAAATGTAAAAAGGATGAAGGTCTTGTTGTTTGTGTATGTTCTATTATCTCTACATTATGCATCTAATCATGACTTTGACTGAAGCATGCAATTATACACAACAGACTAGGTAAGTGATTGCTTACCCAAGAAAAAGGCAAGGTAAGTGATGCATCAAGAAGATACTTATTAAAGTCTTAACCAATAAATAATTAAATTTTGTTAATATATTTTTTAAGGCCTGTATGATGGAGTTTAAATAAATTGTATATACTGCATAAAAGTTTGTGTAATAAAAAAATATATAATATTTTTGCATGCTTAGCATATTTTTTATGTCATGTCACGGCTGCTATTCTATTTGTTAATAAAATATTAATGAAATGAGTCTCATCACTCATATTATGTCTAATATTAACAACTAAACTAAAATAATAGAATAATATAAGAAAAATAGATAGCAACTGCATTACTCACATTTTTAAACCATATTAACATTCGTTTATAATTTGCATTGGGATGGGGGGTTGGCAAACGTGAATCCCTCCTCCCCCATGCACAAAAAAAAAAAATAATAATAATAATTGAAAAAACCCCCTAAATATAGTATTAAAGTTACAAATATTTTTAAATTATATAGGTTCGCCACTCCAAAGTTTTTGCAAAAAATTTAAGAACTGTCACCCCTTAAATTTTCTACTTTAAAATTTAATTATTTTTTTGATAAATACTAAAAATAATAATAATAATAATTTATTTTTTAAGTATGATTACTTTTTATTTTAAATTTAGTAATGTTAAAACAATTGAGAATTTATTTGTTAATATGTTAAAGTCCTGTTTTGTCTGATTAGGGCCCAAAATTTTTAATTGGTTGGTTATAACTAAATACAAAATATAAAAAAATACTACTCACGTGTAATCTGCCCACGCTTGAAAATGCCCCAAATTCTTATTAACCTAATTGTTTAAGCCCCCTTCTCCACTTTACTCTCTCTCTCTCTCACGCTTGAAAATGCCCCAAATTCTTATTAACCTAATTGTTTAAGCCCCCTTCTCCACTTTACTCTCTCTCTCTCTCTCTCTCTCTCTCTGTGTGTGTGTGTGTGTGTAAATGATATGAAAGCTTGGAAAAGAACTCGCAAATCTCCCAGACCTCACAGGCTCGCACTGAAACAACAAATGGAGACAATACAGTGAATCAAACCTTACATCCTCTGATTCCTTTTTCACTTTTTCACTTCTAGGTAATACTAATCTCTTCCATTTTTTTTTTCAAATTTATTTGCTCATTTGTTGTCTGATTTGAAATCTTCTCTTGCTTTGGTTGCAAAACCAAGCATTTACTTTAGGCTTAAATAATAATAATAATAATAATAATAATAATAATAATAATAATAATAATAATAATAATAATAATAATAATAAATATCTTTAATTTCTCAGAGATGAATAGGCTTAAATATCTTTAATTTCGTTGCAATTCACTTCAATTTGGATGCAATTCACCTCGTTGGGGTTAAAAATTCTATCACTCTGAACATTTTTATTGTTTACCCATTGAAAACGACATATCCTTTGTTAGATTAGATTATATTGTTAGTGTGCTTCTTACCTAGTAAGTAACAAAAATTGTTTAATAATTTTCAAGTTCTTAAACAAAATTGATTCTTTCTTTAAGAAAATAGGCTCTCAAGATATAGAAGTTAATGCAACTACAAAACATTTCACTGATAATGTTGAAGCTTCAATTCCTGAACAACGTCCCCGTAAAGTGCCTAGAATAGAATCCAAAGAAGTTGATACATCTTCTTTGGTAAGGGATCCAGGACTACGACCACAAATTTGGGAGTATTTGATATCTCAACGTGATGAGATTCGACGAGCTTACATCAAATTTGGACCATACCAACCTGACAACCAACCTTTTGAAAAGAAGAATGGGCGTCATTTTCTTGCTTCTTGCTACAAGTTATTTCTAGATCGGCTAGAATATTCTCCAACCAAACATTGTGCCTTTTGTCTTCCTTGCTATCTTTTTACAAAACCAAATGGACGCACTACTTCTAGCGCTTTCATTTCTGATGGATTTTCTTCATGGAACAAAGTCAATAGTGGGAAGAATTGTGCTTTCTTAACTCATATTGGAAAGGACCCTAATTCATTGCACAGAATTGTTGTCAAATCTTGCCATGATTTAACAATTCAAGAGCAACACATTGAGAAATTAGTTGAGAAACAAACTTCTCAACAAGTTGCCAAAAACCGTTTGCGGTTGAAGACTACAATAGATGCTGTCAAATGGCTTACATTTCAAGCTTGTGCATTTAGAGGTTGTGATGAAAGTCATGATTCTAATAATCGAGAAAATATTATTGAATTGATTAAGCTCTTGGCATCTTATAATGCAGATGTGGCAGATGTTGTGTTACACAAAGCTCGTCAAAATGCTTCATACTACTCGCATCGAATTCAAAAAGAGATTCATATTATTTTCTTTGACAAAATACAAAGATGCATTCTTGAGGAGATTGATGAAGAAAAATTTTGCATTATAGTGGATGAAGCTCGAGATGAATCAAAGAGGGAGCAAATGGCCATTGTTCGACGATTTGTTGATAAAGATGGTTTTATAAAGGAGCATTTTTTTGACATAGTTCATGTATCAGATACAACATCAGCAACTTTGAAAGAAGAAATATATATTGTCCTATCTCATCATAATCTCAGTGTACAAAATATTTGTGGTCAAGGGTACGATGGTGCTTGTAATATGCGTGGAGAGTGGACTGGGTTACCGGCCTTATTTCTTCATGACAATCATTTTACGTATTATGTTCATTGCTTTGCTCATCGACTCCAATTAGCATTGGTAGCAACAGCAAGAGAGGTTATACCCGTTGTCCAATTTTTTTCTTATCTGGCTCTCACAGTTAATCTATGTGGTTCTTCTTGTAAAAGGCATGATCAGTTGAAAGTTCCTCAAGCTGAAGAAATTGTAGCAAAACTTGCCATTAATGAAGTTGAAACTGGTAAAGGAAAAAATCAATTTGGGACATTTAAACAGGCTGGAGATACTTGATGGGGTTCTTACTTGGGATCTATTTCCAGTTTGATAAATATGTTTAGAGCAACTTGGTCAGTCTTAAGTAATGTCATCAATGATGGAGCCACCTCTACTTAACGTGCAGATGCTGATGGAGTTTATGATAAGATTGCATCTTTAAAGTTTGTGTTTATCTTACATTTGATGACAGATATTATGGGGAATACTGATGATCTTCGCCAAGTTTTGCAATGTATATCCCAAGATATACTGAATACAAAGCATCTAGTGTCAACTACAAAAGCACTTGTTCAAAAATATAGAGAAGATGAATGGATTCCTTTGTTGGAGAATGTTCAACTATTTTGTGGATGGAAAATATAACATAGATATTCTTGATATAAGTGCTCGTTACACATCTGCTAGAGGTCGTGCTTGTCACCAAAGAGATCACATTACTATTGAGCATCATTTTGGGTTGATATTTTTACAATTACATGTGATTCTCAATTGCAAGAATTGAACAACAGATTCAAAGAAGATGTGATGGAGTTGCTTATTCTTAGCTCTACTTTAGATCCTAGGGATGATTACAATTCGTTCAAAATTGAAGATATATGCAAGCTTGCAAATCAATTTTATCCTAATCACTTTATAGAGCAAGAAAAAATGCATTTGAAATTCCAATTGCAAAACTACGAGATTGACATCCTTAAACATCCTAAGTTTTAGCAGTTATTGACAATTTCTGACTTGTACCAAATGTTGGCAATAACAAGGAAGTCAACAATTTATCCTCTTATCGATAGATTAATTCGTCTTGTTCTAATTTACCAGTTTCTATGGCAACAACAGAACGTTCATTTTTAGCTATGAAAATTGTAAAGACTAGATTGCGCAACAGAATGGAAGATGATTTTCTTTCAAGCTACTTGCTAACATATGTTGAGAAAGACATTACTCAAGATTTTGATGTAAATTCCATCATATATGTGTTTTATATTATGAAAGAACATTGAGCGCAATTTTAGATGCCTAAGTAGATATGTAAAGCAAATAGTTACTTTTTTGAAAATTAATATGGATTTACTACAACATATCTAATTGTATTTTGATAACATTTTGTAATTATATACGATGAATGGAAACATCTAATTATATATTTTTGTGATATTTGGGTAGAAATTGATATATATCACATGCTCATTACAAATTTTTTGATTACATATACACTCGCCCCCCTCGATATTAGAATCCTACGTCTGTCCCTGTCATTTAATGTTCTTAAATTTGTGTTGAATGTGAATTAGCCAAAAGTCATTTTGTTATTGGTCAATAATGTAATGTTTGGAACATAGATTTTGAAAGACAAAGAAAAAATATGAGTGAAATATAAATAAAATATAACTACATTTTTTATGACCGAGTGTCTGGATTAATTTATGCACACATCAATTAATCTCGAAATTTACATAAAACGCCCTCTTCACGTAAATTGGACAAATCTCAGACAGTGCCTGCGAGCGTAGCCCCAAAGAGTTGAAAGCAACTAGTGAGAGGTGAACCTAAAATATGAATATAGTACATCCTCAGGTCCTAGGTTGCACCCACTAAGCCAACCAACCCCTTGAAATTATAAAATAAAATTACGTTTCATTCACTTTTTCATTTCCCTTTACAAATCCGTACCTAAATTCATAATCCACACTTTTTGACTGCGTGTACTTGGAATTGCTCCCGATGTAATAGACGTTAGTTCAACTTCAAATTTTTTGTGGGTTTTTCTATTATTTTTTTTAATGAAAAACAATAAAATGTTCAAAAACACAAAAATCATTCCCCTCTGCATTTTTAGAGCCTTTGCCACAACCCTCAATATTCATTCTTTTGCCAGTAGCTTAACTAAGGTTAGGTTGGGACTTTAGCTAGTAAAAGAGTGAAGGGTTAGAGGGGCTATAACATAATAGTCTGGGGATTAGGATCAAACCCTCAACCCTCTCTACCTCGTCTCTCTAGATCCTTTTTTGATAACAATCTTCTTACGTTGTTCGGCTCAAATTGCTTACATCCATGGAAGAGAGAGTTTTCACTATAAATAAAATGGAGAATACATGTGAGATGGCCAAACTACTCAAAACCCACACTATTACCCAAACCACATGCTCAAAAATAGTTGAGCCCTTACTAGCCTGGTGCCCATGGTATTTTTTTCTCTCACCCATACATCTTTATTGTTTTTCCTCACTACTCTCTTAATCTCTCTCAAAGAAAATCCCATAGTCCACATGACTATTTCTAATAGTCTACCCATAAGAATTCTAATTCTATTCAATTAAATAACCAAATCCTATAGATATTAGGTTTCTTGGTAGATTATGAATTCCACTATCCTAACCCAAATACATAGATACACCAACCTAATAACCGTATGGGACCCACATTTATCATATAAATAGACGAATCCTAACAAAAACACATAACACATTAAACTATGCAACACCAAGACCTAACAAAGAAGAGAAACCCTGAAAACTAAGAAAATATGAAACTAAAACCTCAACTCGAAAAAATAAACTTAGTCCTCGATGGAGACCACCTCTATTACGGTTAAAAATCTTAAAGAAGCTTCTTGATGTACTGCAGTTGGAACACAAAATTGGCCACACCAAAGTCAAGAGAAGCATTTGACTGGCTTTGTTTCTTTTTTCTCTTTTGGTCATTAATTTTGTATTTGATTGGTTTTGTTTCATATTTCAACTTAGTTGATATAGGGCCTTTAAATTATGATACTTTTGTCTTGGCCTTTTATGCCTTCTTGATGTAATTTTTGTATATCTTGTACTTTTATTTTGCATCAATAAATTTTTTTTACAGATCAAAAAAATAAAAAATAAAAAATAAGAAAGGCAAGAGAAGCATGATTTAGATTTAACGCAAAAGGCCATTCTCGTCACTATGAGCTCGGGAAGAAGAAGCCAATCAGGTTGAACTTTATTAAACACCAAATCATTTCTAATGAACTAAATTGACCAGAGGATCACAAATGGAATCGTTTCCGAAATGACCTTTTTTTTTTCCTAACTGGAACTCATTGCCACCAAGAAAACAATAAGTTCTGTGGGATCCAAAAAATAGTATATCAACTTATTGGGGCTAATCGAAACAAGGCCTAACAATGGGCCTTGCCCAAACAAGCAAGCCCACCAAACAAATACCTACTAAGCAAATATCACATCCCGCATCTATATAAAATAAGGGCATCCCAAGGAGTAGGGTATGCCTCATTTCTTAGCACTAGACAGCACACACACACACACTCATCAGTTCTTCATCATCTTTCTTTGATTCAAGTTACTGACTTTATCATCGAAGTGTCTCTGGCCGAAAACTCAGGTTGGGTGGCGCTGACCATGTTTATCTTTGCAGATTTATGGAGCAAAGCTCATCTCTTCGTTGGACCTCTACAATCCCTGTGAGAGGATTTTCTGGATCTCACAATCGGCGTCGTTTGTGGGAAAGAGCTAAAGAATTCAACGAAGAGAAGCATAGATACGACACTCAAGGTGCTCAGACCAGTGAGCACCGAGCGTAACCAATCTCTTTCTCAAAAACGAGATCCACAACTGCATATTTGGCTTCTTTCTTTTTGATTATGTTTATTGCTAAAGTTCAAATGTGTATATATATATATATTTGATCAAACCCTTGTTGAATATCAATATTGCTTAGAAAGGTTGACAAAATAAGATGAAGTTAGTAGTTCTATAATTGGGTCTTGACGCTCTCTCTCTCTCTCTCTAGAATTGTTCCTGGCAAGCTATTAAAAAAATAAAAAATAAAAATGCTGCCAACCAAGGGGCCGAGTAGCTTATTCATTGCTTCACTACTTCGGAACACCGCCGAAATTATAAGATGTCGAACATACTCCAAACCCAAACTCGTATCACATCCCATCCTCGAAATCAGGATCTGTGAACATAATATTATCATCTATATGTGCCGAACTCACTAAATGGAATCGTGAAACAATCTCGGCAAAGAGTGATGGTTGTTCGGCGTCGATGAAAGGCTGAGAATAAGCATTGCCGAGCACTTAAAATCGAAGATCATTTTCCCTGATGAAGACCAAGGTTCTTTGGCAAGATCTCTCATGTCACTTGGCAATGTCATCCACCTGCAAGAAGACCCGTTTTCTACCAAAGGCATTGGCCACCTTGATCAAGCCGACTAAGGAAAGCTAAAGTTCCCCAATGCTAAACCACGCTGGGTAAAATGGAGCACCGACCTTATATACAGCCAAAGTATTTCTCATTCAGAAAACTGTTTCACAGTCGGAATCCAATGCCTTGAATCGCCTAGTAGACCACAAGCCATACCGACAACTACAACACTACCGTTGTCGGCGACCACAACACCTGTTTAACAATTGATAATTATAACGAGCTTGCCGAGTTACTAACATTGTGAAGCCCCCAGATTAGACCCATGATCAAGTTCACTAATATTCTTACTCAACAACATTGCAAAGCCGAAACAAGTCAGTCATGCACGGCGATAACTACAATCGCACCTTAGCCACCACTTCGCCCACTAATTTTCACATCGAGAAATAAACTACCCTGATTGTTCGAGTGCAAATTCAATGACCCATCATGAGCCTCGCCAAGCTCTTTTGTCAAGCATATTCCGCCACCAAGCACACTTCACCACCAAGCACATCCTGCCAAGAGCACATTTTTCCAAACACCTTCCTTTAGCCGACCACACTTCAACCGAGGAGAAGAGTCGAACAATACCCAAAAGAAAAAAAAGAAAAAAAAATAGAATAATGTTATTTTTGGTCAACTTTCGGAGGTCCGATGGCATCCAAACAAAGGAAAAATGAGGCGTCAGAATGATGGAATGAATACTAGCTCGCGAGATGAATCCAATGCTGCAAAAATAAGGCCAATCAGACTTAAAACGAGGGATATACAAGAGCTCAAAGTTAGGAGTTTGAATTTAAAAATTATGGATTTCACGGCCTGTTGCATGGAGAAAATGATATTAAGATTTATCATGCGCTTCTCGACACAAGGTGCTCCGTTGCATCTTAGCACGTTTGGGTTAATCGAGTGGTCCGATAACTTCAGGCATGACTACTCTTAAGGTTTTCGCCATGTAGAATCCATTTTCAGAGTCCAAATTTGCAAGGGGACATTAAATGATAGATCAATGGTCAAATCGTGTCCGATCAATATGCAATTTTGAAAGTAGGCTCCTGAAGCGCTAGGTCACAATCATCCATCTTCACCAATCATTCATTCATCTCTTGGCCATCTACTACCACCTAGGGTAGGACCCACAACTTGAATTTCATTTACATTCGGCTTTGCACCATTTGT